TTTTTACACTTTCATATTGTTTTCACCCCAGTTTGGGGCATAACTAGTTACCCATAGCTGGGACCCTACCACCCCTGGTCAGGGTGGACCTGGGAACACCAACAATTAAGAGATGGTTTCACGCTCCTCAAAACCTCTTGATCAGAGACCTTGCTGTTGGATGTAGTTTATCGTCTTACCCAGGAAGCGGATGTAGTTTACTGTCATACCCAGGACAATGGGAAGTCCTACTAAGGTTTCTTTTCAGCAGACAAATTGATACATATTATATTTGGTATAGCAAATTCAGAAGGAATGTTGAAAAAACTTTTTTGATAAAGAAATAAAAGAAAGCAGAAAGAAAGAAGTATTAGTTGTAAGAATTAGAAATATATTGTTATCAGCAAAATATGTAGTCCAAGATAAGACCTATGTATTGTAGACGTTTAAATCAAGCAAGTACAGAAATTTAGTTAAATAAATAGTTTAGATGACGCAAAGCATAAGACACCTTCCAGATAATAAAGAAAGTATGAAGAAATAGCGAAACTTTGCTAGAAACAAAGAAAATGTGCTGTACTACAGGGTAATCCGAAAGTCTTGTCACCCACTACATAATATAATTTTCTATTTCAAAATTCTGTGGAGTATTATCATAGAGTTTCACTTGAACGATACCAGAAAACTCATCAGTTGAAGGACGCTGATCAGAGAGTCTTTGCAACAATCAACAAAACACAACCTCGTAAAATATCACACAGGACATGGCGCCGTATCATTTTTTATGACGGAAATGAAAGTATTTATACAGACCTTCTCGATGTTTGACTGCGTCAATAAAAGTGAATAAACTGAATCCAGAACATGTACTTTGTTTATTGTATTACTTGTTTTTTTATTGTCCACATTACTTTTTGGTTTATGGAAAGAAAAAAAAACTTTTGAACCATCCTTAAGGTCTGATATAATCCAACTAATTTCAACAGGAAACGAATTTTCGTATTCACAATGATGAAGACATCTTTGTCTGGGATTGTCTGACCTGAATTTCATTAATAGAATTATGAATATTGAAGGTTATAATAATATTATTATTTTTTTATCATTTTACCCCAAGCAAGGCAATTAAGTCACTAAGACGCAGAGGGGTTAATGAGCTTAAAAAATATGAGAAAAATATTAAGAAGAACGAACAATAAAAGAACAGGAACTAAGAAAACGGAAGATAACGATTGCTTTTAAATTTGGGGAGATCAATGTCAAAGTTGAAAGGTTAGGCAAGAACAATACTAGAATACGCATCAGTTGAAGAACGCCGTTCGGAGAGCATTTGCAACAATCAACAGAACACAAGGACATGGCATCATTTTTGTGCCATAAAAATGGTGTTCATACAAACCATCTCCATGGGTGACAACGTCAATGAAAGTGAATAAACTGTATCAAGTACATGTGCTTTGTATTACTGTATTACTTGTTCTTGTAGTGTTCGCAATACTTATTGATAGGAGAATGATAAGGCTTGATGCCTACCTATGTTATACTTAACCTTTAACAGTGAATACTGGACAACCTATTTGCAGATGAGGAAGCTACTTGAGTCCAGAGAGATGTAGGTCTACATAGACTGAACATACTACAGGTTGAGTATTCTTTTTCCGAAATTTCCAAGTCTGAAAACCTCCAAAATCCGAAAGTTTTCCAGGTGCTGACATGACTTGCCACAAATGAAAAACTTCAGGAAGCAACATGGCTACCCGTCGCACGATTATTGTGTTGCCGCGTTACAAATAAAATACTGATCCTTTTCACTTTTTATTACATATCCAATTTTTTGTTTTTATACAAATACAGTACATGTATGTATAGTAATATTTTAATCAAAACAAAACATCGCTGGTAGAGACTAATAGCTTACCGAATTTTCCTTCGCCCACTCACAATGATGTCATCGAGAGTTTCTCAAACCTTATGTAGGTGTAATGTTTAATGTTGCATTTATATATTTTTTGTTGGTAGCGATCAACTTTTTTCTATGCAAACAGAATGTATAAAATACTATTCTTATGTGAAATCTTAAGTTCACCATTTTAAAATCCATGTGAAAATTATATGACTAGCTTCATTACCTGTATCTGTATGAGTGACGAAAGACATGACTTACCTCAGAATTCGAAACGAGCGTGAACGTGTCTTGTCTGCAAAGCGATGACAAAAATAAATATGGCTGCTACTGAAGACAATTTATGCGCGCCTATCTCGTCCAAACGAGACGACATTTGCACACATGCAAATTTGGGCCGTATCGGAATAGCAAAAAAAGTGGGGTGCCAGCAGAACGTGGCAGAAACGGGAGTCATTCGGCGGACTGCGTCTTGGAATAGCATAAAAAGCGGAGTGCCAGCAGCACCAAAAAACAGAAGTCATTCGGCAGACTGCATGTGTTAGAGTTGGACGTACGAATTGACAGACGGAAGTCGAAGTAGGCGCGGCTGAGTTGGTGTCTGTTTCACAACTGCCCAGTGTAACGGCTGAGGAAGGGAGTCACTCAATCCATTTCCTAGAGGCGACCGAAGAAGAAAGAATAGTTGACCTGCGGGCGAGCACCACACTGCACTTTTTTACCCACCTCTCATCACCATTTTTTTTTTACTACAGTATGTACACAAAATTAATTAAGATTTATATAAAACTACTTTCAGGGTATATGTTATTTAAATAAATATTCAGGCTATAAGCTATGTTATAAAGTGTAAAGGGATATCGTATTTATGCTTGGGTTCCATTCCAAAGCTGCCTCATTTTATAGATGCTATATACAAATTAAATAGCCTGTATTCCAAAATCCGAAAAAAATATCTGAAGACCGAAACACTTCCGATCCCTAGAATTTCGGATGAAGGGTTCACAACGCTTAATGGAGGTAAAGAATATCATATCACGTTGGTAATATAACCAGATAATATTTGAGCATTGGGAGAAATGCGTATTCTCTCATTTTCATTTCCCTCATTATTATTATTATATCCATGACACCATAACACCATATTTCACTGATGGAACGGAATAGCCGAAAGAAAAGAAATAACAAACATGCTTTGTTCTTACAGAGAGTTTTATAATGCTAAGTCATACACAAAATGATATATGCATATTTGCATGTGTCTCACGCAAAGAAACTATAACATGTACCTACACAAGAAACAGAATGAAAAGGAGACGAAAAAATAGAAGCTAATATGCAATCATTTACATCAAGAACTAGACCTGCCGGAGATTCTTAATAGGATTCCAGATTCGAGGGGGGTCGGTTCCATCTGCTATCTTACTATCAAAGTTATATTCCGCAAACGGAAATGAGGAGTCATTTTTTCCCATCATGAGAACTGGTAGCCGGAGATATTTTCTATATCTAATGAAGATATATGTTCATAGGAAAACGTCGCCTTAGGCTTGTTTACTGCACCACGTGGCTAGGGGGGGAGGCAGATTTAGCCACAATCCGAGACAAGTTGGCTGGGTTAAATAAAGCAACTTCTCGGTCTCATGGAAGCTGTCTGACTGTAGCACTGAATGATTGCTTCTTCCATCACTATGCAATGACATCACTAAACAGACGTCATTTGACCAACGTTACTTCATCAACACCAAAGAGATGAACAACGCAAATTTAAGGAAAATCTGAACTAAAAGAACACTTATAACTACACTTGGGAGACAGTAGAAATTCCTGAGACCCATAATGAGGAAAGTGGGCCTAGCGATTTTAATACTCAGAGGACATATGAAAGTCAAGAAAATAAGAGGAAAACAGTTTTATAATTGCATAACAAGGACTAAGGTTGACGGTAAAGATTCAAATGTTACATAGAGCCTTAAAAATACGAAGTTGTGGAGAGCCATGATCACTCTTGAAATGTCACGACACAAAGAAGAATTATATATTTCTCTAAAATACAAAATTTTAATGGCTGGTCACTCATGCCTGAATATGTCTGTTTGTTAAGGTGTCTGGTACGTTTATCTTTTTTCTGCACCAACAGAGCTAAATTGCAGTTTATACTACAGTAATAGTTAGCAGATAGTTTCTGGAACGAACGCATTATCCGTCGTGATCAACAGATTGAACACTCACACCCTCGGTCAAGATGACTTACAACTCCGTGAATAATTTTTGTACCCAATTTTCTTCAAAAGGTTTTGGTGAGTCTGTTGGAAGGTATGACCTCCGGCAACCCTACAACAAATACACCAATGTGAGATTTGAACCCGGATTTTCTGATCGGAAAGCGAATGTTCTCACCACTCGAACACGTGCTCGTAAATATCAATAATAAGATAAATTAAAATTAATATAAAAAGGATAATAGTTAAATTTTATCATCGAACAAAATTTAAAAGAAAAAAAAGCAAACCTTAAAATAGGTTCTTTACAAGAATTGCGTTCATTTACCAATTTTGAAACTGGGCAGCTGTTGGATGCCTGCCAGCAAACCAACATTCTCATTCGGTTTTACACTTCGGCAATATCACTGCCTCTAACCTTCCAGCATTGGCAACTTTTTACACTTTGATACTGAGAAATTCGCTTCAAGCTTGAATTGAAGTTTTGAAAATTTTCGCAAATATCAAATTTATCTAATATGTTAATATAAATAAAATACAACCAAACCGAAAAAAAAAAACACCGAACAGAACTGTATTTTAAAAATAAAAAGTAATCCCTATGATTAAAAGGAAGGAAATGTATTATGCTAATAATTAAAAATATATTCTCTTGGTTTATTAATTTTATTTCATTTGCTTTTGTCACGTGATTGAACGGGTAATCAATAGAATTGAAGTAAATGATATTTAAACTTATCTTAAACCCAAATAGAATTAAACACAACCGGAAGATGTTCTTGAGATTATCTCTTAAGTAAACAGGACCTAATGACCTGTAAAATAAGCATTTGAAATACAAACCTTAATTTAGTTAGAAATATATCGACTTGTACGAGTTATACAGGAATCAATACTTAACGCACGCCCACATATGCATAGATAGATAGATAGATAGATAGATAGATAGATAGATAGATAGATAGATAAACAAAGAAACAAATAGATAGATAGACAAAAATATATAGATAGATAAACAAGGAAACAGACAGATAGATAGATAGATAGATAAATAGACAAAAAGCTAGATAAACAAAGAAATAGATAGATAGATAGATAGATAGATAGATAGATAGATAGATAGACAAAGAAAAAAATAGATAGATAGACAAAAATAGATAGATAGATAGATAGATAAACAAGGAAACAGATAGATAGATATATATATAGATAGATAGATAGATAGACAAAAAGCTAGATAAACAAAGAAACAGATAGATAGATAGATAGATAGATAGATAGATAGATAGATAGATAGATAGATAAACAAAGAAACAAATAGAGAGATAGACAAAATAGATAGATAGATAAACAAGGAGATAGATAGATAGATAGATAGATAGATAGATAGATAGATGGAAGGGAACGAAACCCTGACAAAGGGTTTACATTGTAATGATTATATGCAACCGTAAGTTCTATGTTTCTTTTCACACACTTCTCACTTATGGCACTGTTTTCTGGTTTCTTAATTTCCAGAAAATTTCTATCTTCAAAAATTTAAATGCAATGTCAATCGTTATCTATTATCTTCCTGATTACTGTTCTATTCTTCTCGCTCTTTCATAATGCTTTTGTTTTCTAATTCTTTTACAACCAGGAACTACTTCAGTCTTTCTCGCTTTACTACATGACACTGGGTAATTTCGATTTAAAAAAACAAAACAAAAAAAAAAACAGGAAAATAAGACGCTATAATTTTACGCCAGACAATGAAAATGCAATGACATTTGACTTAAATTTAATTTTAAATTACTGGCATCGGATGTATCTAGTCAATCACATTTAGTTTCTTATACATTTTTTTAACGCTGTTGTAATTAAATCTGTCATGTTCAGAGCAGTAGTTTTATTTAAAAAAAAAAAAAAAAAGATGACATGCTTTATGAACCTGAAAGTAAATTTACGGTCGAAAAGTCAGAAATTAGTTTTTAAGAAATCCAGTGACCCATCCGACCCATTCAAATCTCGACCTATTAGCTTTCTATCAATTTTTGGGAAGCTCCTAGAGGCCCTAATCAACACTGAATTAGTCCCTTACCTCTCATCCCAAGTCCTTTTCTCAGCCAAGCAATACGGCTTTCGTTTTTCCAGGTCAACGTTTGATAATTGCCGAAACAGTTTATCCGGCCCTAGATAAAAACGGTGAAGCCCGGGCTGTAGAATTGCACATATCGAAAGCCTTTGGTAGGGTCTTGCATTAAGGTCTTCTCCACAAGCTGAAAAGTTAAGGTATACCCGAGATCATTTTTGAGCTGATCCAGTCGTTCCTGTCAAATCGAGAAATGAACGTTGTCCTTAACGGACACTCGTCTACATTCTTTCGTACTAAAGCGGTGGTCCCCCAGGGCTCCATCCTTGATCCTACTCCATCAATGGCGTTCCCGATGACATTAGCTCTCACCTTGGCATCTGCACTGACGGCACTACCATTTATTCCTGCCTCAACAGAAATTCTGATCAGTCCGACCACCTGCAAAATAGAAACTGGTGTCCAAAACAACTCCAAAACTGTCTTTAACTGGGGCAAAAGATGGCTTATCAATTTTAACACGTCCGAAGCTAAACAAAACTACATTAATCATCTCATCTTCTCTTTTTTGCCTTCCATCAGAATAAACGATGCTATCCTTCAGGAAAGTGACATTACGTCTTCTCGGATTAACGTTCTCAGTTGACATGAAGGGGAATGATTATATTGAATCCATTGCCAGCTGCTAAGAAAGATGGTTACCTATGTCGGGCGAGACAATGTTTCTCCTCGGAATATATTTTGCATATCTATAGCTCTGTCATTTTTCCATGTTTAGAAAATTGCTGCCATACATTGTCTGGTACCCATGCTGTCTACCTAAGATTCAAAGAAGAATCAGCAATATTATTGGTCTTGATCTGGCAATTCGGTTTCAATCACTTGCCCACCGCCGTAATTTTGCCTCTCTATGCCTTTTTATAAATACTTTCTTGGTCATTTTTTTGGTGGGGGGAGTTCTTTGCTATGGTACGTGGACTGTATGAATTTAAGCTCAATACTAGACTGGCCTCAAGACCTCATCAAATTTACAGATGAGCTAGCTAGATGTAGACGTAAATTTTGTACTGACAGGTTTTTTTTCCCAACTCTCGTCAGTGGCCTCATGCTTTCTAGCAAACTTTAATCTGCAAGAGTTTAAATGCAATGTCAATTGCTATCTACTTTCCTGATGATTGACATCTTCTCCTTCTACTCATTACTAATGTTGTTTCTGTTTCTAATAACTCCACACGCTGTAACTCCTTGCTTGTTAGTGGCCGTACTGCCTTGCTTGGGGTGATACTGATTAATATATATATATATATATATATATATATATATATATATATATATATATATTACCTTGCCTTGGTTGGCACCTAGTCTAGGAGACGGACAACTCTGAATTCAAAACCTACGGAGGGTCGTTTGGGGCCTCTGTGGCACGTGGTGCACCGGGTCTCTGTATTCGGCCCTTCAAAAAGTGTTGATGATTCTGCACAAAACCTTCACCGCTATAATCAAATCTCATGTGCTGGTGTCGTGCTGTCAGTTTCCTAGGAACTGATCTTATTGACCCTCATACGTCGAATTCGACGGGAGACTCGAGTATATACATTACTATATTACGGTCTCGTTATTCGATCGAGCACAATAGGGGAAAGGATAATTTCAAAACAGCAGCCGTCGCCGCTATTAACAACTCTTCATTAATGAATTGACCCCTCTAGTTGCTGGCGTTTGTATACATCCGTACAGAATACATTAGAATTTCCTTTGCACTGCCGTGCGCCGATAGCTTAGTGGTCGGATCTGAAACTGATTCGATCCCGGCTTGAAGCAATCGGATGTGTGAATGGTTGTTGTGTTATAAGGTCACGAATGATCTTCTACTGGTTTCGGAGCTCTGTCTGTAAAAGACCGCTATCCAATATGCCGGGCGACTTTGGGTGGCCTTTTGGACCCGTGGAAACAATATGAAAATTAAAAGCCAAACCAAAAAGTCAAGTATGGCTCTTCCAGTGGATAAACAGAGGGCAAATCCCTCAAGAAGTAGCCTACCTGCGGTCGAAAACTCGGCTATAGGAACAAACTCCTACACAAATAAATCATTAGCTTCCCACAACCGGGATAATCTCAATGATTAAAGAAAGAAAATGTAAAATGGTCTCGTGAGGAATACAGACTCGTTAGGACTGCATTCGATGAAACGTTACACAGACCTCATCACTCGCCAGATATATGACATTTGCCGAGAAACGTTTGGACAAGCAATTAGAAAGTAGATTGACGAAAATAAACTAGCCAATGTAAGAACGAACATCATGAGAAATAACAGAGTGACAGAGGCTGAAATTAATGACATAAAAACAACTACACCCACAATCCTCACAACAAGAAAGAGAAGGCGAATTGGACAAAAAACAGTCGTAACATCACACAAAACAGATATCATAATGAAGAAACTAAGATACTTACTAATCAGAGTCACGATAATGCTGAAAGTTTAGAACAGTGGGAAAGGCGTGATCTCAGGCGTGAAGTAGAGTTGGAAAGGCGTGACCTCAGGCGTGAAGTAGAGTTGGAAAGGCGTGACCTCAGGCGTGAAGTAGAGTTGGAAAGGCGTGCTCAGACCTGAAATAGAGGTGATTGGGAAAGGCGTGACCTCAGGCGTGAAGTAGAGTTGAAAGGCGTGACCTCAGGCGAAAGAGTTGGAAAGGCGTGATTTCACACCTGAAATAGAGTGGGAAAGGCGTGACCTGAGGCCTGAAATAGAGTTGGAAAGGCGTGACCTAAGGCGTGAAGTAGAGTTGGAAAGGCATGCTCAGACCTGAAATAGAGTGGGAAAGGCGTGACCTCAGGCGTGAAGTAGAGTTGGAAAGGCGTGCTCAGACCTGAAATAGAGGGGAAAGGCGTGACCTCAGGCGTGAAGTAGAGTTGGAAGGGGTGCCAGACCTGAAATAGAGGGGAAAGGCGTGACCTCAGGCGTGAAGTAGAGTTGGAAAGGCGCGCTCAGACCTGAAATATAGTGGGAAAGGCGTGACCTCAGGCGTGAAGTAGAGTTGGAAAGGCGTGCTCAGACCTGAAATAGAGGGGAAAGGCGTGACCTCAGGCGTGAAGTAGAGTTGGAAAGGCGTGACCTCAGGCGTGAAGTAGAGTTGGAAAGGCGTTCTAAGACCTTAAATAGAGGGGAAAGGCGTGACCTCAGGCGTGAAGTAGAGTTGGAAAGGCGTGACATCAGGCGTGAAGTAGAGTTGGGCGTGCTCTGACCTGAAATAGAGTGGGAAAGGCGTGCTCACACCAGAAATAGAGTGGGAAAGGCGTGACCTCAGGCGTGAAGTAGAGTTGGAAAGGCGTGCTCAGACCTGAAATAGAGTGGGAAAGGCGTGCTCAGACCTGAAATAGAGTGGGAAAGGCGAGACCTCAGGCCTGAAGTAGAATTGGAAAGGCTTGCTCAGACCTGAAATAGAGTGGGAAAGGCGTGCTCAGACCTGAAATAGAGTGGGAAAGGCGTGACCTCAGGCCTGAAGTAGAGTTGGAAAGGCGTGCTCAGACCTGATATAGAGTGGGAAAGGCGTGCTCAGACGTGAAGTAGAGTTTGAAAGGCGTGCTCAGACATGAAATAGAATCGGAAAGGCGTGACCTCAGGCCTGAAGTAGAGTTGGAAAGGCGTGCACAGACCTGAAATAGAGTGGGAAAGGCGTGCTCAGACCTGAAATAGAGTGGGAAAGGCGTGACCTCAGGCGTGAAGTAGAGTTGGAAAGGCAGGATCAGACCTGAAATAGAGTGGGAAATGCGTGACCTCAGGCGTGAAGTAGAGTTGGAAAGGCAGGCTCAGACCTGAAATAGAGTGGGAAAGGCGTGACCTCAGGCGTGAAGTAGAGTTGGAAAGGCAGGCTCAGACCTGAAATAGATTGGGAAAGGCAACTCAGGCGTGAAGTAGAGTTGGAAAGGCGTGTTGAGACCTGAAATAGAGTGTGAAAGGCGTGACCTCAGGCGTGAAGTAGAGTTGAAAGGAGTGCTCATAAATAGCGTGGGAAAGGCGTGACCAGGCGTGAAGTAGAGTTGGAAAAAGGCAGGCCCAGACCTGAAATAGAGTGGGAAAGGCGTGACCTCAGGCGTGAAGTAGAGTTGGTGGCGTGCTCAGACCTGAAATAGAGTGGGAAAGGCGTGACCTCAGGCGTGAAGTAGAGTTGGAAAGGCGTGCTCAGGCCTGAAATAGTGGGGAAGTCGTGACCTCAGGCGTGAAGTAGAGTTGGAAAGGCGTGACCTCAGGCCTGAAATAGAGTGGGAAAGGCGTGACATCAGGCGTGAAGTAGAGTTGGAAAGGCGTGCTCAGACCTGAAATAGAGTGGGAAAGGCGTGAACTCAGACGTGAAGTAGAGTTGGAAAGACATGCTCAGACCTGAAATAGAGGGGAAGGCGTGACCTCACGCTTGAAGTAGAGTTGGAAAGGCGTGACCTCAGGCCTGAAATAGAGTGGGAAAGGCGTGACCTCAGGCGTGAAGTAGAGTTGAAAAGGAGTGCTCAGACCTGAAATAGAGTGGGAAAGGCGTGACCTCAGGCGTGAAGTAGAGTTGGAAAGGAGTGCTCAGACCTGAAATAGAGAGGGAAAGGCGTGACCTCAGGCGTGAAGTAGAGTTGGAAAGGCGTGACCTCAGGCGTGAAGTAGAGTTGGAAAGGCGTGACCTCAGGCCTGAAATAGAGTGGGAAAGGCGTTACCTCAGGCGTGAAGTAGAGTTGGAAAGGCAGGCTCAGACCTGAAATAGAGGGAAAGGCGTGACCTCAGGCGGAAGTAGAGTTGGAAAGGCGTGCTCAGACCTGAAAGAGTGGGAAAAGGCGTGACCTCAGGCGTGAAGTAAGGGCAGGCTCAGACCTGAAATAGAGTGGGAAATGCGTGACCAGGCGTGAAGTAGAGTTGGAAAGGCAGGCTCAGACTTGAAATAAAGTGGGAAAGGCGACCTCAGGCGTGAAGTAGAATTGGAAAGGCGTGCTCAGACCTGAAATATAGTGGGGAAGGCGTGAAGTAGAGTTGGAAAGGTGTGCTCAGACCTGAATTAGGGGGAAAAGGCGTGACCTCAGGCGTGAAGTAGAGTTGCAAAGGCGTGCTCAGGCCTGAAATAGAGGAAAAGGCGTGACCTCAGGCGCCTCAGGCCTGAAATAGAGTGGGAAAGGCGTGACCTCAGGCGTGAAGTAGAGTTGGAAAGGCGTGCTCAGACCTGAAATAGAGGGAAAGGCGTGGACCTCAGACGTGAAGGAGTTGGAAAGGCGTGACCTCAGGCGTAAAGTAGAGTTGGAAAAGGCGTGCTCAGACCTGAAATAGAGTTGGAAAGGCGTGACCTCAGGCGTGAAGTAGAGTTGGAAAGGCGTGACCTCAGGCGTGAAGTAGAGTTGGAAAGGCGTGCTCAGACCTGAAATAGAGTGGGAAATGCGTGATCTCAGGCGTGAAGTAGAGTTGGAAAGGTGTGCTCAGACCTGAAATAGAGTGGGAAAGGCGTGACCTCAGGCGTGAAGTAGAGTTGCAAAGGCGTGCTCAGGCCTGAAATAGAGTGGGAAAGGCGTGCTCAGACCTGAAATAGAGTGGGAAAGGCGTGACCTCAGGCGTGAAGTAGAGTTGAAAGGCAGGATCAGACCTGAAAAATAGGCGTGACCTCAGGCGTGAAGTAGAGTTGGAAAGGCAGGCTCAGACCTGAAATAGAGTTGGGAAAGGCGTGACCTCAGGCGTGAAGTAGAGTTGGAAAAGGCAGGCTCAGACCTGAAATAGATTGGGAAAGGCGTGAACCTAGAGTTGGAAAGGCGTGTTGAGACCTGAAATAGGGGGAAAGGCGTGACCTCAGGCGTGAAGTAGAGTTGGAAAGGAGTGCTCAGACCTGAAATAGCGTGGGAAAGGCGTGACCTAAGGCGTGAAGAGAGTTGGAAAGGCAGGCTCAGACCTGAAATAGAGTGGGAAAGGCGACCTCAGGCGTGAAGTAGAGTTGGAAAGGCGTGCTCAGACCTGAAATAGAGGGAAAGGCGTGACCTCAGGCGTGAAGTAGAGTTGGAAAGGCGTGCTCAGGCCTGAAATAGGGGGAAGTCGTGACCTCAGGCGTGAAGTAGAGTTGGAAAGGCGTGACCTCAGGCCTGAAATAGAGGGAAAGGCGTGACCTCAGGCGTGAAGTAGAGTTGGGAGTTGAAATAGAGTGGGAAAGGCGTGACCTCAGGCGTGAAGTAGAGTTGGAAAGGAGTGCTCAGACCTGAAATAGAGAGGGAAAGGCGTGACCTCAGGCGTGAAGTAGAGTTGGAAAGGCGTGACCTCAGGCGTGAAGTAGAGTTGAAAGGCGTGACCTCAGGCCTGAAATAGAGTGGAAAGGCGTTACCTCAGGCGTGTAGAGTTGGAAAAGGCAGGCTCAGACCTGAAATAGAGTGGGAAAGGCGTGACCTCAGGCGTGAAGTAGAGTTGGAAAGGCGTGCTCAGACCTGAAATAGAGTGGGAAAGGCGTGACCTCAGGCGTGAAGTAGCGTTGGAAAGGCAGGCTCAGACCTGAAATAGAGTGGGAAATGCGTGACCTCAGGCGTGAAGTAGAGTTGGAAAAGGCAGGCTGACTTGAAATAAAGTGGAAAGGCGTGACCTCAGGCGTGAAGCAGAATTGGAAAGGCGTGCTCAGACCTGAAATATAGTGGGGAAGGCGTGACCCTCAGGCCTGAAGTAGAGCCTGAGACCTGAATTAGAGTGGAAAAGGCGTGACCTCAGGCGTGAAGTAGAGCGTGCTCAGGCCTGAAATAGAGTGGGAAAGGCGTGACCTCAGGCGTGAAGTAGAGTTGGAAAGGCGTGACCTCAGGCCTGAAATAGAGTGGGAAAGGCGTGACCTCAGGCGTGAAGTAGAGTTGGAAAGGCGTGCTCAGACCTGAAATAGAGTGGGAAAGGCGTGACCTCAGACGTGAAGTAGAGTTGGAAAGGCGTGACCTCAGGCGTAAAGTAGAGTTGGAAAGGCGTGCTCAGACCTGAAATAGAGTTGGAAAGGCGTGACCTCAGGCGTGAAGTAGAGTTGGAAAGGCGTGACCTCAGGCGTGAAGTAGAGCTGGAAAGGCGTGCTCTGACCTGAAATAGAGTGGGAAAAGGCGTGACCTCAGTCTTGAAGTAGAGTTGAAAGGCGTGCTCAGACCTGAAATAGAGTGGGAAATGCTGATCTCAGGCGTGAAGTAGAGTTGGAAAGGTGTGCTCAGACCTGAAATAGAGTGGGAAAGGCGTGACCTCAGGCGTGAAGTAGAGTTGGAAAAGGCCTGAAATAGAGTGGGAAAAGGCGTGCTCAGACCTGAAATAGAGTGGAAAGGCGTGACCTCAGGCGTGAAGTAGAGCGGAAAGGCAGGATCAGACCTGAAATAGAGTGGGAAAATGCGTGACCTCAGGCGTGAAGTAGAGTTGGAAAGGCAGGCTCAGACCTGAAATAGAGTGGGAAAAGGCGTGACCTCAGGCGTGAAGTAGAGTTGGAAAGGCAGGCTCAGACCTGAAATAGATTGGGAAAGGCGTGAACTCAGGCGTGAAGTAGAGTTGGAAAGGCGTGTTGAGACCTGAAATAGAGTGGGAAAGGCGTGACCTCAGGCGTGAAGTAGAGTTGGAAAGGAGTGCTCAGACCTGAAATAGCGTGGGAAAGGCGTGACCTAAGGCGTGAAGTAGAGTTGGAAAGGCAGGCTCAGACCTGAAATAGAGTGGGAAAGGCGTGACCTCAGGCGTGAAGTAGAGTTGGAAAGGCGTGCTCAGACCTGAAATAGAGTGGGAAAGGCGTGACCTCAGGCGTGAAGTAGAGTTGGAAAGGCGTGCTCAGGCCTGAAATAGTGGGGAAGTCGTGACCTCAGGCGTGAAGTAGAGTTGGAAAGGGCGTGACCTCAGGCCTGAAATAGAGTGGGAAAAGGCGTGACCTCAGGCGAAGTAGAGTTGGAAAGGAGTGCTCAGACCTGAAATAGAGTGGGAAAAGGCGTGACCTCAGGCGTGAAGTAGAGTTGGAAAGGAGTGCTCAGACCTGAAATAGAGAGGGAAAGGCGTGACCTCAGGCGTGAAGTAGAGTTGGAAAGGCGTGACCTCAGGCGTGAAGTAGAGTTGGAAAGGCGGTGTGACCCTCAGGCCTGAAATAGAGTGGGAAAAGGCGTTACCCCAGGCGTGAAGTAGAGTTGGAAAGGCAGGCTCAGACCTGAAATAGAGGGAAAGGCGTGACCTCAGGCGTGAAGTAGAGTTGGAAAGGCGTGCTCAGACCTGAAATAGAGTGGGAAAGTGACCTCCAGGCGTGAAGTAGCGTTGGAAAGGCAGGCTCAGACCTGAAATAGAGTGGGAAATGCGTGACCTCAGGCGTGAAGTAGAGTTGGAAAGGCAGGCTCAGACTTGAAATAAAGTGGGAAAGGCGTGACCTCAGGCGTGAAGTAGAATTGGAAAGGCGTGCTCAGACCTGAAATATAGTGGGAAGGCGTGACCTCAGGCCTGAAGTAGAGTTGGAAAGGTGTGCTCAGACCTGAATTAGAGTGGAAAAGGCGTGACCTCAGGCGTGAAGTAGAGTTGCAAAGGCGTGCTCAGGCCTGAAATAGAGTGGGAAAGGCGTGACCTCAGGCGTGAAGTAGAGTTGGAAAGGCGTGACCTCAGGCCTGAAAAAGAGGGGAAAGGCGTGACCAGGCGTGAAGTAGAGTTGGAAAGGCGTGCTCAGACCTGAAATAGAGTGGGAAAGGCGTGACCAGACGTGAAGTAGAGTTGGAAAAGGCGTGACCTCAGGCGTAAAGTAGAGTTGGAAAGGCGTGCTCAGACCTGAAATAGAGTTGGAAAGGCGTGACCTCAGGCGTGAAGTAGAGTTGGAAAGGCGTGACCTCAGGCGTGAAGTAGAGTTGGAAAGGCGTGCTCTGACCTGAAATAGAGTGGGAAAGGCGTGACCTCAGTCTTGAAGTAGAGTTGGAAAGGCGTGCTCAGACCTGAAATAGAGTGGGAAATGCGTGATCTCAGGCGTGAAGTAGAGTTGGAAAGGTGTGCTCAGACCTGAAATAGAGTGGGAAAGGCGTGACCTCAGGCGTGAAGTAGAGTTGCAAAGGCGTGCTCAGGCCTGAAATAGAGTGGGAAAGGCGTGACTTCAGGCGTGAAGTAGAGTTGGAAAGGCGTGACCTCAGGCGTGAAGTAGAGTTGGAAAGGCGTGCTCTGACCTGAAATAGAGTGGGAAAGGCGTGACCTCAGGCTTCAAGTAGAGTTGGAAAGGAGTGCTCAGACCTGAAATAGAGGGGGAAGGCGTGACCTCAGGCGTGAAGTAGAGTTGGAAAGGAGTGCTCAGACCTGAAATAGAGTGGGAAAAGGCGTGACCTCAGGCGTGAAGTAGAGTTGGAAAGGCAGGCTCAGACCTGAAATAGAGCGGGAAAGGCGTGACCCCAGGCGTGAAGTAGAGTCGTGACCTCAGGCGTGAAGTAGAGTTGAAAGGCATGACCTCAGGCGTGAAGTAGAGTTGACAGGCGTGCTCAGACCTGAAATAGAGTTGGAAAAAGGCCCTCAGGCGTGAAGTAGAGTTGAAAGGCGTGCCCAGGCCTGAAATAGAGTGGGGGAAGTCGTGACCTCAGGCGTGAAGTAGAGTTGAAAAGCGTGACCCCAGGCCTGAAATAGAGTGGGAAAAGGCGTCAGGCGTGAAGTAGGAGTTGGAAAGGTGCTCAGACCTGAAATAGAGTGGGAAAGGCGTGAACTCAGACGAAGTAGAGTTGGAAAGACATGCTCAGACCTGAAATAGAGTGGGAAAGGCGTGAGCTCACGCTTGTGTAGAGTTGGAAAAGCGTGCTCAGACCTGAAATAGAGGGAAAGGCGTGACCTCAGGCGTGAAGTGAAGGTTGGAAAGGCAGGCTCAGACCTGAAATAGAGTGGGAAATGCGTGGGCGTGAAGTAGAGTTGGAAAGGCAGGCTCAGACTTGAAATAAAGTGGGAAAGGCGTGACCAGGCGTGAAGTAGAATTGGAAAGGCGTGCTCAGACCTGAAATATAGGAAGTGGGAAGTGACCTCAGGCCTGAAGTAGAGTTGGAAAGGTGTGCTCAGACCTGAATTAGAGTGGAAAAGGCGTGACCTCAGGCGTGAAGTAGAGTTGCAAAGGCGTGCTCAGGCCTGAAATAGAGTGGGAAAGGCGTGACCTCAGGCGTGAAGTAGAGTTGGAAAGGCGTGACCTCAGGCCTGAAATAGAGTGGGAAAGGCGTGACCTCAGGCGTGAAGTAGAGTTGGAAAGGCGTGCTCAGACCTGAAATAGAGTGGGAAAGGCGTGACCTCAGACGTGAAGTAGAGTTGGAAAGGCGTGACCTCAGGCGTAAAGTAGAGTTGGAAAGGCGTGCTCAGACCTGAAATAGAGTTGGAAAGGCGTGAGCTCAGGCGTGAAGTAGAGTTGGAAAGGCGTGACCTCAGGCGTGAAGTAGAGTTGGTGGAAAGGCGTGCTCTGACCTGAAATAGAGTGGGAAAGGCGTGACCTCAGTCTTGAAGTAGAGTTGGAAAAGGCGTGATCAGACCTGAAATAGAGAAAATGCGTGATCTCAGGCGTGAAGTAGAGTTGAAAAGGTGTGCTCAGACCTGAAATAGAGTGGAAAGGCGTGACCTCAGGCGTGAAGTAGAGTTGGAAAGGCCTGACCTCAGGCCTGAAATAGAGGGAAAGGCGTGACTTCAGGCGTGAAGTAGAGTTGGAAAGGCGGACCTCAGGCGTGAAGTAGAGTTGGAAAGGCGTGCTCTGACCTGAAATAGAGTGGGAAAGGCGTGACCTCAGGCTTCAAGTAGAGTTGGAAAGGAGGCTCAGACCTGAAATAGAGTGGGAAAGGCGTGACCTCAGGCGTGAAGTAGAGTTGGAAAGGAGGCTCAGACCTGAAATAGAGGGGAAAGGCTGACCTCAGGCGTGAAGTAGAGTTGGAAAGGCAGGCTCAGACCTGAAATAGAGTGGGAAAGGCGTGACCTCAGGCGTGAAGTAGAGTTGGAAAGACCTCAGGCGTGAAGTAGAGTTGGAAAGGCATGACCTCAGGCGTGAAGTAGAGTTGGACAGGCGTGCTCAGACCTGAAATAGAGTTGGAAAGGCGTGACCTCAGGCGTGAAGTAGAGTTGGAAAGGCGTGCTCAGGCCTGAAATAGAGTGGGGAAGTCGTGACCTCAGGCGTGAAGTAGAGTTGGAAAAGCGTGACCTCAGGCCTGAAATAGAGGGGAAAGGCGTGACATCAGGCGTGAAGTAGAGTTGGAAAGGCGTGCTCAGACCTGAAATAGAGGGAAAGGCGTGAACTCAGACGTGAAGTAGAGTTGGAAAGACATGCTCAGACCTGAAATAGAGGGGAAGGCGGAGCTCACGCTTGTAGTAGAGTTGGAAAGGCGTGACCTCAGGCCTGAAATGAATGGGAAAGGCGTGACCTCAGGCGTGAAGTAGAGTTGGAAAAGGAGTGCTGAAAAAGAGCTTCAGGCGGAAGTAGAGTTGGAAAAGGAGTGCTCAGACCTGAAATAGAGTGGGAAAGTCGTAACCTCAGGCGTGAAGTAGAGTTGGAAAGGCGTGACCAGGCGTGAAGTAGAGTTGGAAAGGCGTGACCTCAGGCCTGAAATAGAGTGGAAAAGGCGTGACCTCAGGCGTGAAGTAGAGTTGGAAAGGCAGGCTCAGACCTGAAATAGAGTGGGAAAGGCGTGACCTCAGGCGTGAAGTAGAGTTGGAAAGGAGTGCACAGACCTGAAATAGAGTGGGAAATGCGTGATCTCAGGCGTGAAGTAGAGTTGGAAAGGCGTGCTCAGACCTGAAATAGAGTGGGAAAGGCGTGACCTCAGGCGTGAAGTAGAGTTGGAAAGGCGTGCTCAGACCTGAAATAGAGTGGGAAAGGCGTGACCTCAGGCGTGAAGTAGCGTTGGAAAGGCAGGCTCAGACCTGAAATAGTGGGAAATGCGTCAGGCGTGAAGTAGAGTTGGAAAGGCAGGCTCAGACCTGAAATAAAGTGGAAAGGCGTGACCTCAGGCCTGAAGTAGAGTTGGAAAAGGTGTGCTCAGACCTGAATTAGAGGGAAAAAGGCGTGACCTCAGGCGTGAAGTAGAGTTGGAAAGGCGTGCTCAGGCCTGAAATAGAGTGGGAAAGGCGTGACCTCAGGCGTGAAGTAGAGTTGGAAAGGCGTGACCTCAGGCCTGAAATAGAGTGGGAAAGGCGTGACCTCAGGCGTGAAGTAGAGTTGGAAAGGAGTGCTCAGACCTGAAATAGAGTGGGAAAAGGCGTGACCTCAGACGTGAAGTAGAGTTGGAAAGGCGTGACCTCAGGCGTAAAAGTAGAGTTGGAAAGGCGTGCCAGACCTGAAATAGAGTTGGAAAGGCGTGACCTCAGGCGTGAAGTAGAGTTGGAAAGGCGTCAGGCGTGAAGTAGAGTTGGAAAGGCGTGCTCTGACCTGAAATAGAGTGGGAAAGGCGTGACCTCAGGTCTTGAAGTAGAGTTGAAAGGCGTGCTCAGACCTGAAATAGAGGGGAAATGCGTGATCTCAGGCGTGAAGTAGAGTTGGAAAGGTGTGCTCAGACCTGAAATAGAGTGGGAAAGGCGTGACCTCAGGCGTGAAGTAGAGTTGCAAAGGCGTGCTCAGGCCTGAAATAGAGTTGGAAAGGCGTGACCTCAGGCGTGAAGTAGAGTTGGAAAGGCGTGACCTCAGGCGTGAAGTAGAGTTGGAAAGGTGTGCTCAGACCTGAAATAGAGGGAAAGGCGTGACCTCAGGCGTGAAGTAGAGTTGGAAAGGCGTGCTCAGACCTGAAATAGAGTGGGAAACGCGTGACATCAGGTGAAGTAGAGTGGGAAAAGGCTCCCCAGGCGTGAAGTAGAGTTGGAAAGGCGTGCTCAGACCTGAAATAGAGGGGAAAGGCGTGACCTCAGGCGTGAAGTAGAGTTGGAAAAGGAGTGCTCAGACCTGAAATAGAGTGGGAAAGGCGTGACCTCAGGCGTGAAGTAGAGTTGGAAAGGCAGGCTCAGACCTGAAATAGAGGGGAAAGGCGTGACCAGGCGTGAAGTAGAGTTGGAAAGGCGTGACCTCAGGCGTGAAGTAGAGTTGGAAAGGCATGACCTCAGGCGTGAAGTAGAGTTGGACAGGCGTGCTCAGACCTGAAATAGAGTTGGAAAGGCGTGACCTCAGACGTGAAGTAGAGTTGGAAAGGCGTGACCTCAGGCGTGAAATAAAGGCGTGCTCAGACCTGGGATTTGGAAAGGCGTGACCTCAGGCGTGAAGTAGAATTGGAAAGGCGTGCTCAGACCTGAAATATAGTGGGAAGGCGTGACCTCAGGCCTGAAAGAGTTGGAAAGGTGTGCTCAGACCTGAATTAGAGGGAAAGGCGTGACCTCAGGCGTGAAGTAGAGTTGGGAAAGGCGTGCTCAGGCCTGAAATAGAGTGGGAAGGCGTGACCTCAGGCGTGAAGTAGAGTTGGAAAGGCCTGCCTCAGGCCTGAAATAGAGTGGGAAAGGCGTGACCTCAGGCGTGAAGTAGAGTTGGAAAGGCGTGCTCAGACCTCAAATAGAGTGAAAGGCGTGACCTCAGGAAGTAGAGTTGGAAAGGCGTGACCTCAGGCGTAAAGTAGAGTTGGAAAGGCGTGCTCAGACATGAAATAGATTGGGAAAGGCGTGACCTCAGGCGTGAAGTAGAGTTGGAAAGGCGTGACCTCAGGCGTGAAGTAGAGTTGGAAAGGCGTGCTGACCTGAAATAGAGTGGGAAAGGCGTGACCTCAGGCCTGAAGTAGAGTTGGAAAGGCGTGCTCAGACCTGAAATAGGTGGGAAATGCGTGATCTCAGGCGTGAAGGAGTTGGAAAGGTGTGCTCAGACCTGAAATAGAGTGGGAAAGGCGTGATCTCAGGCGTGAAGTAGAGTTGCATAGGCGTGCTCAGGCCTGAAATAGAGGGGAAAGGCGTGACCTCAGGCGTGAAGTAGAGTTGGAAAGGCGTGACCCCAGGCGTGAAGTAGAGTTGGAAAGGCGTGCTCTGACCTGAAATAGAGTGGGAAAGGCGACCAGGCTTCAAGTAGAGTTGGAAAGGAGTGCTCAGACCTGAAATAGAGTGGGAAAGGCGTGACCTCAGGCGTGAAGTAGAGTTGGAAAGGAGTGCTCAGACCTGAAATAGAGTGGGAAAGGCGTGACCTCAGGCGTGAAGTAGAGTTGGAAAGGCAGGCTCAGACCTGAAATAGAGTGGGAAAGGCGTGACCTCAGGCGTGAAGTAGAGTTGGAAAGGCGTGACCTCAGGCGTGAAGTAGAGTTGGAAAGGCATGACCTCAGGCGTGAAGTAGAGTTGGACAGGCGTGCTCAGACCTGAAATAGAGTTGGAAAGGCGTGGGAAAGGAGTTGGAAAGGCGTGACCTCAGGCGTGAAGTAGAGTTGGAAAGGCGTGCTCAGACCTGAAATAGATTTGGAAAGGCGTGACCTCAGGCGTGAAGTAGAGTTGGAAAGGAGCGCTCAGACCTGAAATAGAGCGAAAGGCGTGACCTCAGGCGTGAAGTATAGTTGGAAAGGAATGCTCAGACCTGAAATAGAGTGGGACAGGCGTGACCTCAGGCGTGAAGTAGAGTTGGAAAAGCGTGACCTCAGGCCTGAAATAGAGTGGGAAAGGCGTGACCTCAGGCGTGAAGTAGAGTTGGAAAGGTGTGACCTCAGGCCTGAAATAGTGGGAAAGGCGTGACCTCAGGCGTGAAGTAGAGTTGGAAAGGCGTGCTCAGACCTGAAATAGAGGTGGAAAATCGTGATCTCAGGCCTGAAATAGAGATGGAATGGCGTGATCTTAGACCTGAAATAGATTTGGAAAGGTGCGATCTCAGGCATGAAATAAACGTGGAAAGGGGTTATCTAAAGGCCTGAAATAGAGTTGAAGATACGTGATCTCAGACCTGAAATAGATTTGGAAAGGCTGATCTCACGCCTGAAGTACAGTGGGAACGGCGTGATCTCAGTCGTGAAATAGAGGTGGAAAGGCGTGATCTCACCCCTGAAATAGAGGTGGAAATCCGTGATCTCTGGCCTGAAATAGAGTTGGAAATGCGTGATCTCACCCCTGAAATAGAGGTGGAAAGGCATGATCTCAGGCCTGAAGTAGATTTGTAAAAGGGGTGATTTCGGGCCTGAAATAGAGTTGGAAATGCGGGATCTCAGGCCTGAAATAGAGTTGGCACTGAAATTAATTCTGGATGATGTTTTGTTTTTCTAAACGAGTCTTAGATGTGGCACAAGGCCGAATGTATGCAAACCATTACACCACACCGAAGCGCCCAAATTCTGGATGAAGTAGACCCACATATAAATCTCAATGAAGCAAAAGCAGAAACTAAAAGATTAAAAATCAATGTAAGAAAAGGCAGTCTCACAGCTATAAAGAAATATAGAGAATGAAATGGAACAACTTAGAAATGAATTATTAGTCTCCGATGAGCTAGCAAGATGAATAAATGTATAGACTAGAAAAGGCAGAAAAATAAAAGGAAAATACAAGAATGAAATGAATTCCTATCAGATAAAGAAAAAAAAAGCAAACGGTACAACTGAAGTCTCAAAGAATCAAACTCTCTGAAAAAAATCAAGATTCTATAGACAGAACAAGATCTTTAAAACTGATGCGAATCCATTTTATAAACAAATAGGCAAAGAAAAAAATTAACAACCCCACCATCAATGGAAGACATTATTCAGTTCTGGAAACAAGTATGGGGTTGCCCTAAAGAATATAACAAAGAAGCAGATTGAATAATGCAAGAAGTAGAAAAATAAACCAGAACAAACATGGGGGGGATCACAGAAGAGGATGTTGAATGTGCACTGAAAAAAAGTACACAGCTAGAAATCTTCAGCAATAGATAAAATTCATAACTTTTGACTCTGTTATCTAAATAAAGCGCACAAAAATACTAGCCAAAATCTTCAAGACATGATCACTGATCCTACTAAAATTCTGCCATGGGTAACCAAAGGAATTATCTTCCGTCTACCCAAGAATGATGAAACAAATATCCCAAAATCTACAGACCAATGACATGCCTTCCCACTACTTACAAACTGTTGACATCTCATCTGACAAAACAGATATATTCCTTCTTAGAAAAAATGACTTATTACCCCTTGAACAAAAAGGGTGCAAACGTGACTCCTATGGATAAAAAGATTAATTACGAATTAATTGGATGATCTTGAGAAATTGCTTCCATACAATGAACAATTTCAATACTGCATGGATAGATTGCCATAAGGTACTGGATTCCTGGATTTTAAAATCTTTAAATATAAACAAGGTATCACCCGTCATCATAAATTTCATCAAAGTATGTCGATATGAAGAACGACACTTCAACCAGCGAATTTAAAAGGACGAAATATGGATATAAGATATCTAAAAAAAAATAAGCCATCTATTTTACATGGATGAATTAAAGTTGTATGCTCGGAAAAAAGATCAAGATCCTACAGACAGAACAAAATTTTTTAAACTGTTGCGAGGAAATTTTACAGAGAAACAAACAAAAAATTGAAGTAACACCACCCACCACAAAATTAATTAAATAAATGGAAGAGGTTATTCGGTTCTGCGGAAAAAATATGGGGTTGCCCTAAAGAACATAACAAAGCAGCAGATTGGATAACGTAAAAGGTAGAAAAATAAACCAGAACAAACATGGACGGGAATCACAAAAGAGAATGTTGAATGTACACTGAAAATAATACACAACTAGAAATCTTAAGGAATAGTTAAACTTCATAACTTGACTCTGTTATCTAAACACAGCACGCAAAAAAAACTAGCCAAAGACCTTTAAGAAATGCTCAATGAGCCTAATAAAATTGTGGCAGGGTTTACCAAAGAATTACGTTCCTTGTACCCAAACATTTTGACATAAATATCCCCAAAATTACACACCAATTATATGTCTTCCCACTACTTACAAACTAACAAAGGTGCTGTAATCGATGCTGAAATGTCTTTGCAAATATATTATTATATTTCGTCCATTTAATTCTAATTGGATTAAATAGATTAATAGAATGATTGCGAGGCTATGTTTTAACTACTAATTCATACATTGTTTCTGCTCCCATTGTTAGTATAGAGAAATGAATAAGGAGATGCGCATTTCTGGATCGGACCAGTACCGAAGACGAATTGACTCGGAGACCTCATTCATCTTTACATACCGTAGCACAAATCAATTCACCCTTCCACACACTTAACAAAATGAAGCGATCGACCCATCGTTCCAACATCATGGTGAGTTAGCACCAGATGCGGTGGACTGGTCGAAGACGGTGTAGTTTGATATCGCGAAATTGCGATTGATACGATTATCGATTGAAGGACCACAGACACCTGAGCAACGTTTATGAATACAACATTACTTAAACTATGAGAACAAAGTGCCACCATTCCTTTCTCTTAAAGGATGTAAACGCAATTAAGAAACTTATAAAAACCAGCCAGTAAATTTCTCTTAGCTGATCGCAGTAAGATGAATACACATCTGAGAGGTTTAATCCATGTCGTGTGGTGGGGTAGATCAATGCTAATCAAAGTGGTTGCTTCACGAACCGTTGCCAGTACACGAACCATCAGCTATGGGTCCGCGGCCAGTGTCCATGTCCAGGCCATGCTAAGAAAACATTTAAAGCATACTTTTTATATGTTTTGATACTGAATTATTTTTTGTAAAATAAATGGAAGATAAAATATTTTAATATATTCATTATATATATATATATATATATATATATATATATATAAATATATATATATATATGAAAAATTTCTCAGAGTTAACCTGTAGAAAAAGAAAATATTTATAAATGTAAAAGACAATAGGAAAACTGTAATAGTTGCCGACGCATTTCGTCTGATGTGAACTTTTTCAAGTATTCATTTCATTTTGCCTTGAAAAATTACACGTTGGACGAAACGCGTCGTCAACTATTTTTAGTTTCCGGTATAAATTAATATTACCATGAAATATTATAGGTACGTGACACACTGGAAAAAAATAAGCCCGCCCGCCATATCAGTTAGTTTGACAATCACTGGAGTAGATGACTTTATAAATTTTCCGTTTAATACGCTGATGTCGAATGATATATATATATGGGTGTCGTAATGGTTAGGAGTTTGAGAAATGGAATAATTAAACCGATTTCAAATTCCGGCTTAGATTGATGCCATGTTTTTTAGTTATTTCACCCCAAGCAATGCCACTAACACGTAGAGGGTTACATGGAGTGAAAGTGAAAAAGAAGATATCTGTCTATATCTCTGAGATGAGGTATTATGTACACTATATACATTATTCGAAATATTGTCATCATCTTTGTCGCCATATTTATTACAACTTTTCGGCTCTTGTACGCTCCGGCCTTCTTCAGGTGGTTGGAATGTCGAACTGAACCCTTTCTCCTTCTACTCATTACTAGGACACATGGCACAGTGGATAAAACGTTGGTTAGATCCAGTAACAGGACCCAAAGAGTGTGAATTCAATACCCTGTTAAGGTAGTGGAGAACTTGGAGAAGGGAATTAACAGGAGATAACTGGTAACTGACATCCATTAAACATGGCACGTGGAAATAGAACAGTCTACCCCAGTGAGTGAAATAAAGGGTTCAGTTCGACATTCCAACCACCTGAAGAAGGCCGGAGCGTACAACGACCGAAGCGTTGTAATAAATATGGCGACAAAGACGAGGACAAGAGACCGAATAATGTAAATAGTGAAAGAGAAGCCTAACAATAGAGACGATTGATGAAAGGACAAAAGATGAACGTGTTCAAGAAGACAGAAGATGGCGATTGACGTTGTATTTAAATTTTTGAAGATTGTAATTATCAGGGAAGGAAGTAAACGGTAGAAAAATCCACAGGTGGGAAGTGGGTGTTAATCTAGTAGCATTCATTTAATCTGAGAACCAGGAAAAAAAATCTCGTCAGGGCAGCTACTATGAAAATATTTGTAGAAAAGAGAGAGGGTAGCCATGATGCATAAAGTGACTGAAGTCGAGATGCCTAGTCAGTATCAATTGCATTAGAGATCCTTCTATGGAATTTTATTAAGAATCTCGAGATGTACAGCAGGAGTACCAGATCAGGTAAGGTAAATGGCACAGCCACTCGAATCCGAGGATGCTAGTCAACTAGGGCAGGAACCTAATCCCCATTGCAGACACATGCTCAGGCATATTTATGTTTATTCAATAGACCACCTGTGGTGTATACTGCAACTGGACGATCATAGAGTTTATGGGTGAAAGCGTGTTACCTAGCGTTCTCAACAGTCTGAACAAGGCTAACACGTTCAGACTTGTGACTTAGTGCTACCGACGGCTCCCAAGGGTTCCCTCTATCTAATTTCACACCCAAGGCTGAGTTCAACCCGTGATATGGTTTTCAGACACTTGCTGCACGATGGGACCACCTCCCCCAGACTGATAATATCAAGAAGTCACTGATTCTTACGATGAATGGTGTCAAGATGGCTAAGTGCCTTATTTAAAAATCTGACAAAAAAAAAAGAAATTCAGTTCAGTGGTATTTAGATAACCCTAACCCTAAACATTTTTTATGGTAAATAGTTATGCACTTACACGATGTTAACAATTTTGCTGTTACAACCGATATTTATTAGTAAAAAAGATATCCATTTTTTGTCATTGAATCTAAATACTGGGTGGAAATGAAGACACGTCTTTACATTTTTATATTGCTATGACTAATCTAATTCAATTGTTCGTGCATATAAATAAAGCCGACATCCTCTCGATTATAAATCCCGGGAAATTTTTTCTTTCAACTGATGAAAGAATAACTCCCAGACATAATGACGACAAGCACTTTGGCTTTTATTCTTGATTCACCCACCATCTCCTGTCCTTTGTAGCTCTTTTTTTTCTTCTTTATTTTTTTTTTTTTTGTTATCTCTCCTAATCCCTGTTATTCTAAACATCTACACAATCTCGTTTGGTAGGTGATACGTTGTTTTCCTCTGTCCCTCTTATCTTCAATACGGCCTGTCGGTGTTAAATGTGCTAAGATCTCGTACTCGTTATATCTCCT